ACCATCAAACATCTCAAAACACCATTCATCATACATTTTGAGTTTAACACAGAATCATTCAATATCAACATTCATCATGTGATCAAATGCACTTACACAACAATAATTCAACATCTACTAATTCCACACTCTAACACTAACAATTCATACTTAATAATTCAACATACAACAAAAACTAGCTTCCCTTACCTCAAAGAGAACTACCACAAATCAACACAGCTTACCAAACCTTGCTCAGAGCTCAAGGAATTCTAAGAATGCCTACAGAGCACAGAAAAGTGATAAGAGAGAATCCTTAGAGCCTCTGATCAACAATAAACTAGGAAAATAGACCATAAGACACATGTGATAAGGAATCACCATACATGATCTCAACCTTAAAACGAAAGGAAAAATGAATCAAAACTTACTTGCTTCAAACTAAAAACTGATTGGTAGATAATGGAGATTGCATTGTGATGATTTTCTAAGCACTTCTTGATCATCAAACAAATGATCTAGGAGTTAAAATTTGTAGAGAGAAAGAAAAGATAACTCAAAGAAAGATTTTTAGAAAGATGATAAGTGTTTTAGATAATGAAACAAATTTAAAATTTTTTATTTATATTATTGAATTAATTTAAAATTAAAATACTTGGTTTCATTAGTTTAAAACACCTATTAACTAACATTTTATATTTTCTAGATTCTTACAAATATATTATTCAATAGGTTTATTTTCGTTATTAGGTTTATTTTCGTTATTAATGGTTATAATCTGTATACACTATGATACATTTCTAATTATAAGTTAAATTTTATTATAATTTTAAATTATGACTAACATTTATTAAGTTCATATAACTTTACCCTTTGCTAAATTTTAACTAATAATAAAACCATGTTAAAAATTACCCTAAAGTTTACTCAGAATTTTACATTTTTAAAACGTTTTATATTGTATCTTTTAAAATTTTATTTTTTTATCATAATAATAATAATATTATTATTATTATTATTATTATTATTATTACATTTACACTTTTTCTTAGTCTCTTTTCTTATCTCATTTCTAATCACAAATAAAGAGCATTAATAACAATCTATGTAATTTTGTTAATCAACACACTTTTTATCAGTTCATATTATTAAAAATGTTTGTGAGATTCATTAATACTTTTATCATAATTATTGATAATAAAGAAAATGTTAAAAAATGATATATCTGACAGACACAATAATGACATTACAAGAAAATTATCTGACAGACACACTACTGACGTTGAAAAATCGTTAATACTAAGGTTTAACTGTGACCATGATAATTTGTCTGTTAAAAGAATGTTCTCAGAAAGAGATTTTTGAAGTTATAAATACGACTTCATGAACATTTGTAAGAAATACGAATATACAAAGAGGGGAAAGACTATTCAATAATCCTTGAATCCACGTGTCACACTGGTAGGAGTCCAAGTAGGACTAAGAATCCAGCATGTCATGGTGAAGGCAGAAATGATCGACAATGATTGACCAAAAGCACATCCAAGTTATCCAAGTGGAAAATGTTGAGATAAGGCACTCTCCACAGCCACTCATAATCACAGACACAGCAATCACCACAGAGAAACCAAAACTATATTGTCAGATTCCAGAAAAGCAAGCAGAAGGCAAAGAAAGAACTTGGCTAGCTAAGGATCAAGCAAATACAATGGCTCAAGCAATGGCATCAATGGCAGGTAGCCTTCAACTCAGTGGCTCCACACGTTTGCATGCCAAAAGGGTGTCTTCAGTCACACGTGCAGGATTCGCAGTTAGAGCACAACATCAACAAGAACAAGTGAGTGGTGAGGCTCACAGTAGCCGTAGGACAGTGCTGTCTCTTGTTGCTGCTGGTTTGGCCATCTTAGTGATTACACACACACAATGGATCTACATAACAAACAAACAGAGGCTATTTTCTAAAATTATAAAAATAAATTATATTTATTTTTACAATTATAATAATAATAAATTTATTAATTTTTATTATCGTTAAAAAAACTAACACACTAATAAATATTTTCACTAAATTAATATAAAAAATATAATTTTTTATATTAATTTAGAAATGAAATTATATATATTTTAAAATAATTTATGTTACAATAAACTTTTAAAATTAACGAAAGCTGTTGTCTGAAGTAAAAAAATGAGGCAAATTTTGTTTATTTGCTTAAGGGATAAACAAAGTAGATAAGGTATAAGCAACACGAAATAGGTGTTGTGTTATGCTGTGTGCATCTACTCTAGGAGGCTATGTTGTCGTCTTTTTGTTGTAAGTCTTTCTCAGACACCCTTTTGCATCAAATTCCTAATTTCACCTTAAATAGCTTTCTATGTTTGTGTTCGGTGTTCTGTGAGCTATATTGGTTTTGTGCTTCTTTTAGATGTTAAAGTTAGTGTATTGAGCTATGTTGGGTGTAATGTAATGTTGGGGATTGATGCCACTTTCCTTTTCTCTACCCAGTTTTACTCCTCTCATAATATGTTGGTAGAATCTTCTAATTCTGATTGGAATTTTTACATTCCCAGTTATGTGTTGGAGTGAGAGACAATGAAATTTAATGTAAATACTATGTCTTTGAACAATTTGGAGCTGGCAATGTTGCTTTAGGGTTTATATGATTAGTCAACAAATTAGGGAATGAAAGTTTTTTGCAGGTACTAAAAAGGGTTTTACTGTTTTGGGCAGTGAACTTTCCTTGCGCTGTACAAGGAACTATATTTTCTCAGAGGAAACAATTATCTCATGGATGCACAAACCAAAATTCAAAGGATTATTACCTGTAAGAGTGGCATATGTTTTGATATTCTTTTTGTGAAATTTCGGTAATGGATTGTGATTTGGTGTGTTATGTTTTGTCTGTGAGGATAGAATGCAGGATAGTTCCATGTTGCGTTCTGAAAAATCATTGAGGAGAACACTCTTCCTTTCTGTCTTGGTCTCAACTGGTTTTTTCCCAACTTTGTATTCTTATGCAAAGACAAAGAGTAAGAATCCTTATGATGAAAAACGATTGCTAAAACAAAATCAGCGGATACAGAAGGAAAACAATGCGCCAGAGGACTTCCCAAATTTTATTAGAGAAGGTGACAATGATTTTTTTTTCTTTCATCAATTTAAAGCTCTACTTTTGATTTAGCTATATGCTTTCCAGTTTCCGTTCCATAATGTCTGAGCTTACATGTGTTTCTTGCACATGATTATGTTACTTTCTCTGGGAGCTCGAATACTGACATGGAGACTGAACACGACACGGACATTTCGGCACATGTAGTCTCCAAAATGTAGGACACAGAGACACAAATCTATATATNGATGATTTTCTAAGCACTTCTTGATCATCAAACAAATGATCTAGGAGTTAAAATTTGTAGAGAGAAAGAAAAGATAACTCAAAGAAAGATTTTTAGAAAGATGATAAGTGTTTTAGATAATGAAACAAATTTAAAATTTTTTATTTATATTATTGAATTAATTTAAAATTAAAATACTTGGTTTCATTAGTTTAAAACACCTATTAACTAACATTTTATATTTTCTAGATTCTTACAAATATATTATTCAATAGGTTTATTTTCGTTATTAGGTTTATTTTCGTTATTAATGGTTATAATCTGTATACACTATGATACATTTCTAATTATAAGTTAAATTTTATTATAATTTTAAATTATGACTAACATTTATTAAGTTCATATAACTTTACCCTTTGCTAAATTTTAACTAATAATAAAACCATGTTAAAAATTACCCTAAAGTTTACTCAGAATTTTACATTTTTAAAACGTTTTATATTGTATCTTTTAAAATTTTATTTTTTTATCATAATAATAATAATATTATTAGTATTATTATTATTATTATTATTACATTTACACTTTTTCTTAGTCTCTTTTCTTATCTCATTTCTAATCACAAATAAAGAGCATTAATAACAATCTATGTAATTTTGTTAATCAACACACTTTTTATCAGTTCATATTATTAAAAATGTTTGTGAGATTCATTAATACTTTTATCATAATTATTGATAATAAAGAAAATGTTAAAAAATGATATATCTGACAGACACAATAATGACATTACAAGAAAATTATCTGACAGACACACTACTGACGTTGAAAAATCGTTAATACTAAGGTTTAACTGTGACCATGATAATTTGTCTGTTAAAAGAATGTTCTCAGAAAGAGATTTTTGAAGTTATAAATACGACTTCATGAACATTTGTAAGAAATACGAATATACAAAGAGGGGAAAGACTATTCAATAATCCTTGAATCCACGTGTCACACTGGTAGGAGTCCAAGTAGGACTAAGAATCCAGCATGTCATGGTGAAGGCAGAAATGATCGACAATGATTGACCAAAAGCACATCCAAGTTATCCAAGTGGAAAATGTTGAGATAAGGCACTCTCCACAGCCACTCATAATCACAGACACAGCAATCACCACAGAGAAACCAAAACTATATTGTCAGATTCCAGAAAAGCAAGCAGAAGGCAAAGAAAGAACTTGGCTAGCTAAGGATCAAGCAAATACAATGGCTCAAGCAATGGCATCAATGGCAGGTAGCCTTCAACTCAGTGGCTCCACACGTTTGCATGCCAAAAGGGTGTCTTCAGTCACACGTGCAGGATTCGCAGTTAGAGCACAACATCAACAAGAACAAGTGAGTGGTGAGGCTCACAGTAGCCGTAGGACAGTGCTGTCTCTTGTTGCTGCTGGTTTGGCCATCTTAGTGATTACACACACACAATGGATCTACATAACAAACAAACAGAGGCTATTTTCTAAAATTATAAAAATAAATTATATTTATTTTTACAATTATAATAATAATAAATTTATTAATTTTTATTATCGTTAAAAAAACTAACACACTAATAAATATTTTCACTAAATTAATATAAAAAATATAATTTTTTATATTAATTTAGAAATGAAATTATATATATTTTAAAATAATTTATGTTACAATAAACTTTTAAAATTAACGAAAGCTGTTGTCTGAAGTAAAAAAATGAGGCAAATTTTGTTTATTTGCTTAAGGGATAAACAAAGTAGATAAGGTATAAGCAACACGAAATAGGTGTTGTGTTATGCTGTGTGCATCTACTCTAGGAGGCTATGTTGTCGTCTTTTTGTTGTAAGTCTTTCTCAGACACCCTTTTGCATCAAATTCCTAATTTCACCTTAAATAGCTTTCTATGTTTGTGTTCGGTGTTCTGTGAGCTATATTGGTTTTGTGCTTCTTTTAGATGTTAAAGTTAGTGTATTGAGCTATGTTGGGTGTAATGTAATGTTGGGGATTGATGCCACTTTCCTTTTCTCTACCCAGTTTTACTCCTCTCATAATATGTTGGTAGAATCTTCTAATTCTGATTGGAATTTTTACATTCCCAGTTATGTGTTGGAGTGAGAGACAATGAAATTTAATGTAAATACTATGTCTTTGAACAATTTGGAGCTGGCAATGTTGCTTTAGGGTTTATATGATTAGTCAACAAATTAGGGAATGAAAGTTTTTTGCAGGTACTAAAAAGGGTTTTACTGTTTTGGGCAGTGAACTTTCCTTGCGCTGTACAAGGAACTATATTTTCTCAGAGGAAACAATTATCTCATGGATGCACAAACCAAAATTCAAAGGATTATTACCTGTAAGAGTGGCATATGTTTTGATATTCTTTTTGTGAAATTTCGGTAATGGATTGTGATTTGGTGTGTTATGTTTTGTCTGTGAGGATAGAATGCAGGATAGTTCCATGTTGCGTTCTGAAAAATCATTGAGGAGAACACTCTTCCTTTCTGTCTTGGTCTCAACTGGTTTTTTCCCAACTTTGTATTCTTATGCAAAGACAAAGAGTAAGAATCCTTATGATGAAAAACGATTGCTAAAACAAAATCAGCGGATACAGAAGGAAAACAATGCGCCAGAGGACTTCCCAAATTTTATTAGAGAAGGTGACAATGATTTTTTTTTCTTTCATCAATTTAAAGCTCTACTTTTGATTTAGCTATATGCTTTCCAGTTTCCGTTCCATAATGTCTGAGCTTACATGTGTTTCTTGCACATGATTATGTTACTTTCTCTGGGAGCTCGAATACTGACATGGAGACTGAACACGACACGGACATTTCGGCACATGTAGTCTCCAAAATGTAGGACACAGAGACACAAATCTATATATTATATTATTATGTATTTACATACTCAAAATCATCTATAAACAAGACTAGTCAAATATAATAATCTAAACACATTATCAGGTAATACAAAAATGAGTCTAATGTATTTATCTAATATCCAAAAAGTAAAAGTAGTGATCATATAAGATTTGTTCCTTATTTCTATAATCATAATACAAACTTATGTAATAAGTTTAAAAGTTTATAGCCTTTTAGAAAATCATTGTATTTGTGGTTATTAACAATGTATTGAAGCCATGTCAAAATCATGTTAGAGATAAAATAATGTCTTTCAAATTGGGCACTTCACTGATACGTGTTGTACGAGTGTACATATTTAAGTGTTCGATACTTGTCGGACACCGGACACACAATTTATGAGGTGTGTCCAAGCTTTACCATGGTTTTTGAGCTTACATTTGTTTTTGACACATGTTTATCTTACTTTCTACGGTATATTTTGTAAATCGGACCATGGTTTCTAAGCTTACATTTGTCTTTTTTGCACATCATTGTCAACTTTCTAGGTATATTCTATAAATAAAACCATGGTTTCTGAGTTGATCTTTGTTTTTTTCACATGGTTGTGTTACTTTCCATGGTATATTCTTTAAATTTGACCATGGTTTCATAGGCGGTACCAACCTCAACTAAAGGAAGAGGGTTGTGTTATGCCCTTAGTGGCCAGCATGAAACTTGTTCACGAGTCAAACCTTGTTTCAGAGAGACTACACAGTGAATAATATCTTTTAAGAATTTGGTTCCTAACTGAGTCCAATGACGTCTATGATCAACGTAGCTCACTTCATCATATGGGATATTGTTGTTGCTATTATGTTCCTTTCTAAGTTTAGTTAAACAAGTTCTAGTACTTTATTTTGCTGTGGTGACTCTGGTCAGTGTCTCAATTGTGTTTGTCTACTGAAGTTCAATGAGTTAAATTTAGGAGCCTACTGTGAAATTCATTTGTTGTGATCATCTTGTATGCTTTTTTGGATATGATTGTCTGATTTATTGTTATAATACATTTCAGGTTTTGAAGTTAAAATAGTATCTTCAGAGAACTATGTAAAGAGTAACTCGGGACTCATATACCGGGATTTTGTAGTTGGTCAAGGTGATTGCCCAAAGGATGGTCAGCAGGTTTTTGTTTTATTTTCTTTCCAATCTGCTGCTTTTTCTTTTATTTTTAAATGAATATTTGTCAGTAAGTTAGAAAGTTTGAAATTCTGGTGTTAAAGTCAGATTATGATAGGAAATAAAATCCTTACAATTCAATGGAGAATATCAGGAATCAATTGCAGATATTTTGTTATTGTAGAAATGGGTTGTTTTATTCCTTTGTTATTAAACTATAATTGTTCCTACACAGGGTTTAGCAACTTCTTTAAATGTGTATTTGTTTTATAATTAAACCTTACAGAACAATTCACGAAACCACTTCTTCTATGCTTTTGTCTTGGAAAGCGGGAAATTCCACTAAATGTTTGTGAAATAGAAAAACTAATACTAGTATATTGCAGAATGGAAACTAGGATATTTTTGCTTTAGAATTGAAACATTTGCTATCTGTCAAGGAAAGCACGGAAGCAGTTTTTTGCACTCTAATATTTATTGCATAATAATTTGTTTTAAGGAATATCTTTGGTTTGAGTTTGTACAAACTAATGATGTCAAAGTTATAAACTTCAGGGAATTTGCTTAGTAAGTCAGCCTGAATATTAGGGCAACAACATTTACTTCCTTCAAGAGTTTTTGTACCAGTTTTTGTGTCAACTTTTGTTGATAGTTCTCTCTTGTTGGCATTCAACTTCCGTCAAGAACTTTTGCTAGAAATTTTGTGCATCTCCATTACTGGGTGGGTTCTTAGTGAAATTAATAAGATCATATATGATTTCTGTGTTACTTATGCTTTCTTAATTTTTAGTGTATAACAAAATAAACTCCCGGTTAATGTAAAATTTTGCCCTTTGTTAACATTGTTTTATCATTTGTCAAGGATTAAACTATCGTTAGACACTAAGGTCAGGTGGTGATTGGGTGAATGTGAGAAGCAATCTTAAAAAAATGTCATTTTCAGCTGCAAGACTGGAACTTTTAGGCACTAAAATTTAAAGCATGATTTGTATGCACGAATTATATTCACTAATATGCTTGTAAATCTTGCCTTGCAGGTCACTTTTCACTACATTGGTTATAACGAATCTGGTCGTCGAATTGACAGCACTTACTTGCAGGGTACTCCTGCCAAAATCCGCATGGGTACCAAGGCATTAGTTCCAGGTTAAAATTTTTAGATTTAGAAATGTAAATTTCCTTGCAACTTTATGAAGAAAATATTCATCCTTTGCTTGATTTCTGTCTCTCCCTTAAAGAACCCAAAAGGGGAGGAAATAAGTGCAGAAGGAAGTGAGAAAAGTACATTTTCTGATGTAGGATTTGAGGAGGGAATCAGAGACATGAGACCAGGTGGGAAGAGAAGAATCATCATCCCCCCTGAACTTGGACCACCAGTGAGTTCCAACATCTCTTATTTTTCTTTTATCACCTTTCTCTAATCCATTTTTGGGGTTTTCCATATTGTATGATATTGACTGCTTAGAACTTAATCCTAATAAATTTTCAGTGTTTTTGATAGAACTGATATATAGAATTTAGAAAGAACACTTTTATTACAATTGAACTCTAATCCCTTACCAATGTGATAGGGATTTAGAAACCAAAACAACAATTGTTGGACAACAGACACAAATGAGGTGTTCGAGAGACTTCACTCTCCTTAGCCCTTCCTAACACCTAAACAGACCAGACCCCTTCCTAGCACCTAAACAGACTTTATATAATGTCTTACATTTATAAAATTATAACTACATGAACTGTCTAGTTTCTTCCTTCTACTATATACTATACCAAACCTATCAGTTTTATTCAAAACTATTAGCTTGTTATGATTGAGCATGATCCTTTCCTTTAAGTGGGTAGAATTTGATTTTATACACCACCAAATGCAGATGAAATTTTGGCAGAATAATGAAGTCTATTACTTGGATCCATCTTACTCTTTTTGTAATAACTAATCTAAACTGTTACTGTAAGATTCAATAATATGTTGAATTTGGTAAAAGTAAAACAAAAATATTAATATGTTGGAAACTATTACTAGAAAGATTGAAACTCTACTTCAACCCCCTATTTCTCTGCATAAGAAATTTCATTTCAATATTATGTGCAAATTAGAGTGAAGTATAGGTTTTGTCTTGGAAGTCCCACATCGATTATAAATAAGGTCAATTTATAGTATATAAGTGGTGCAAACCTCACCTTACAAGATAATTTTGTGGAGTTGAGTTAGGTTTAAAGTCCATTTCTTAACATGATATCAGATTTTTCCGATTTTGTGTGTTCCACCCGCTATCTGACCACTATCGGACCACATAGTATATAAGTGGGTGCAAACCTCAACTAACAAGCTGGTTTTGTATTAACAGGTTTCAATCCTAATTCTTGAGCACTTTTTTAACAATAGTTCATCAACTTTACTAATACTGTCTACTTTACATTTCTTGCAACTGCACTGAATCTCTTAGAAATCACAATTTCAAAATCTCTCTAGAGTTGGATGGCTGATGTTTTTTCTTCTGCAGGTAGGACCTTCAACCTTTTTCAGCTCAAAACAGTTTGAAGTTTTTGATGTGGAGCTATTAAGCGTGCAAAATTGTGAAAGGAGGACCGTAGCCTTTTACTCAGATGTAATTTGCAATTGAGAGAAGGCTGCCATTTGAGTTGTCTAAATCATGACCACTGAAGGCATAAAGCACAGATTATTCTAGTTAGGAACTTATTTATGATTGTACTATATAGAGATAGCAACACACAACCTTTTAGCTTTTTTCTTTGAGGCAATCATAATCTAACATTGTTAAGATTTTTCTCTATTTTCTGTGATTCACTTTGGCCAGTATTTTCTTTTGCTCTGGTTTGTAAGTTGTTAACCTTGTCAATCATAAAAAAGGACTACAAACATACAATATTCATTGGTAAATGGATAAACAGTTTTTCATAGTTGTAGGATCCTGTTATCTTTGTTTCATTGGATAGCAAATCAAAAACAATTGTAGCCTGGACATGAAACAATACTATCCTTATACTATAAAATTAAAGGTCCATTGAATTATTCATTAATGGATAAGGTTACTAAACCAGAAAGTGTTTTCCACTTCAGTTGAACACATTAGTCTTACCTTTAACCATACATAAGAACCCTTGATATATTTGTTTGCATATTCACTATTTAAATCCACCTGCACCGCGCTTTCACATGTCAATTGACACACTAGAGTGCAACATTCATATGAATTAGAATAACTAAGTCATTTAATTACACACTAGAGTGCAACATTCATATGAATTAGAATAATTAAGTAATTGAATAAAAGGATTGTTATTGTTTTAGAAAATAAAACTTATTTATATAGTTCTGAGTATGCTTATGGTGTGTTTTTATTTCTCATAAACCTTATAATTTATAAGATTAACATTAGGTCTTTTATCTACCTACTATAATGTTCTTAATTATTATAAATAATACACTATAATAATTGTAAAACATAACTTACTCTTCCTCTCCCAATGCAATAAACACTATCACTTTTAATAAATATTTGATAACTCTTAAATTTAAGTTTATTCCTACAATATTCCATGAATTCTCCTTATATGAATTCATCTTCCCTATCAAATTGAACAACTTTTATTGACTTCCTAGTCTCCTTCTTAACTTGTCGTGAACTTCTTAAACACCTTGAATTTCTCTCATAAGAAATATACCCACATCTTCTGTGAAAAGTCATCCATAAATGATATAAAATATTTCTTACCACTAAAAGACTCAGGAGTGAATGATGAATTAAACCGAGTTGTGTCTTTGCTTGGTACTCAACAATCTTCATAAATTCTATCCTTGGATGCTTTTCAAGTATACAGTCGTCACAAAACTTCTTTTCAAACTTTATATCTAGTAGTCCATGCACCAATTACTTCATCGATAGCTCGACCAATCCTCCAAAATTTAAGTGCCCAAAGTGGAAATGCCACATCACAACTTCATCTCTCACATCCATCTTCAAACATTTCTCCTGTACTATGTTTAACTCCATCTTGTACATTCTATTTTTTTTTCATTTCAACTCAGGCTATCAATCGACCAAATTTATCCTTCAAGTACAATACTCGGTCCTTTATCAAAACTGGGTTTTCCTTTTCCATCAACTGTCCTATCCTTAGAATATTACTCTTGAGATTAGGTACAAAGTATAAGTCTCGCATTCACCAGATTGTACCTCTCCCTTTTACAACTACCTTTGAATTATCTCCAAAAAAAAACATGTCCAACAACCACTTAGATGAGCTCTCAAAACATGCTTTCATCACCGCTCATATGATTACTAGTCCTAGTATCTAGATACCAAACCGAGATGTTTAACCAACTCGACTTTAACTCGACATCTGTTGTTTTGTTTATATTCACCTCAACTTCCATACTCCTAGATATCAAGCTAATCAGAATGAGTTTCGTACTCTAGCTTGGCAGCCCAACCTTTCATCTCGACAGTTTGGTCTTTGGGGTTCTTGGCATCATCAGGATCTCAATCTCTTCATCAACCTTCTTAGTAAGGAAATCTTTTTCCTTTTTCTTTTCAACTCGACAATATTTTTCTATATGGTCGACTTGTAGTCATTTGCGTAATGACTATGCTTGCCACATTTATAACATTCCACTCTAAAATTAATAGATTGACATCCTTAATCTCTCACTTTTCCACACGGTTATCGCCTTTGTAAACTTTCTCAAGAATCTATGACGCTTTTCTTGAAGATTTAACATTCATTATCTTCTCAAAACCAAATTCATTAGCATCTCGGTTCAATATGTACAGGGCTGATTGATCCTTCACCCGCGATTTTCTTAATGCACAAACTTGGGCCATTGTCTGCTTTGCGTCTTTTGCGAGTTCTTCATAGCCATTCACAACAACATCCCAAACGTCTTGGGATCCAAGAAGGGCTCTCATCTGCACACTTCAATTGTCAAAATTGACTTTCTTTCTCAATTGAGGCAAAGACATATTGTTTGCTAGGTTGACTATCTCTCTCATTATCTCTTTCTCACTTGGACACTTAGGCCCTCAGCTCTGATACCAATTTGTTAGAAAATGACACTCACTTATATATATTTTTGAATATGCTTCTTGTATGTTTTCATTTCTTATAAGCCTTATAATTTATAGGATTAACATTAGGCCTTTCATCTATCGAACATAATGATGCCAATACAAATTAGCTTAGAGTAAAGTATGATTACCAATAATTGAGTCGTAGTTAGGTTTCGTTAATCAAAAGTTCATTCCGAAAACTATAAATACAGGTTTGAGGTAAAGAGATAGGTGATTGTATTAATACACATTAATTGCTATAACTGCTGAACGCTTACTAACTTTGGCATAAGAGTACCTTCTATAGAAATAGTTTGGATTGGGATAGTTGTTAGAGACAGTGATTGTAGTTGAAGAAGAAGATAAATTGTGGATGTTTTTAGAAAGCAGAAAAAAAAAATCGGAAAGATAAAGAAAGAAGAAAACAGAGAGAGGAGGAAGAAGATGAACTAGATTGCAATATTTAGATAATCCGGTATTCCTTCTTAAAATTGTATCTTCTTTCTCCTTTTCCACGTAAGACTACTATTCTTACATTTGGATAGTTTTATCTTGTATCCTCATAATTATTTTTGTATTTTAAGTCGTATAATTTTTGTAATCTAAAATATATTTTTTATTTTATATTTTAAAATCTATAATTAAAATAAGTTTTTCTATTTTGGAATATCCAATATTTATGATACAAAAATTTTATTCTAAATTGTATAGTATAAAATACAAATATATTTTAAATGAGAGATTTTGAAATATTTTTTATTTTATATTTTGAAGAAATTTTTACCATATATTTCAAAATAAAAAAAATTACTAATATACAAAAGAAACTGTTCAAAAATAAACATATATAAAGTTTCCTCCTCGATATATATTTTTTTAAAAGTAACGTGCTATAAATATTTGGTAACAAAAAGTTAAACAAAATAGTGTGGTAGTTTATAATATTAAGGTATAAATATCCTAAAAAAGGTAGACCTCTATAGGCAATGAAAATTAAAAGTCCTAAATAAACTCTTAGATCAATAGTTCCTTATAATAAGAAAGCATAGGTTGGAAAACTTGCTTAAACCACAAATAGAATGAAAGGCTAAGCTGATTTTAAGGGTTCGAAATTGATGGCAGAACACATAAAGAAGAACTTGTTTCAACAAGTTTCCAAACCTTTTAACATCCAAACCCAAGACCCTTTGTTCTCCAACATCCATCACCTTCATCTGATGTAATTTTCTAACCCTAAGTTCCTCACCATTCAACCTACACCTTCCAAGGTTGGGTTGCTTGGGAGTAACAAAACAACACCATGAGCCTCAATTGCCTTTCTTGTAACATTCTCCAAAGGGTGAATTCAAATAACAATGATGCATGTCTCCCACCAGAAGAAGAATCAATCAGATCTTACGACAACAATAATAGCATTAGCAACAACAATAACATTAGCAACAACAATCGCATCAACAATAACATTAACAACAATAATCGCAGAAACAATAACAATGACAACAATGGTAAAAAAAGAGTGAGTCATAACAGGAGCTTATCTTATGGGAACATGACACCAAGCCAATATGCACATAGTGGACCTTTGGCCAAGATTAAGGCACAACATAGACGCACCAACAGTGATAGTGGTGTTGGACCAAGATTGGTAAGGAGCAGCGGAATGAGAAGAGATTGGAGTTTTGAGGATTTGTCTCCCCAACAAAATGACAAGGGAGTTCAATGCTATTGAGGTTTCTGTGTCTGTCATTATTCATATGTCTCAATTATTGGTTGGTTTCCCTTTTTCCATTTTATATATATATATATACCTTGTGTATTGATAATAATTTGCTGGGTTTGGAAGAAATTATTACATGCATGTATGATCCATGCATGCATGATCGCCATGTGGTTTTATAGTTTTGATCAGTCTCAGTCTTAGCTTGACATATGTAATCAAGTTTTTCAAATTTTACTGAAGGGAAAAATATGAAACTGGTTCATGTTTCACGTAGAGATTGATCGAAATCGTGTAATAATTTTTCGTTGTTCTTTTGAAAAAAAGGTGGGAGAAGAAGTGAGAGATGTAATTAAAGAAGGGATTAGTGAGATGTTCTAGTTTTTATGTTGTTTTCAAACACTTGACGAATTTTATGAGGTTTTTTTATTTTATTTTTTTCACCATGATAAATGTTAATTCCCTTTTATTTTTCTATTTGTTGTTGTCATTCATTTTCAGTTTCATTTAATTTTCACGGAAAAGCATTCAAATATAAATATTAATTGTTCCTAATGGCAAAATAAAGGTAACAAGAGATTGTATATTATGGTTCTATATAAATGATCTTATAAATCTTCCTATTCATGTGTTGATTTAAGTAGATTTAAAATATTTTTAAAAATGTTTAACCAATCACAATCACATTGTTAAGAGATAACATTATTTGTTAAACATGTAGGTAAAAATTCGATTTAAATTCCTAATAAGATTTTTTTTAAAAGAAATCAAATTTTTATTATTATATTTTGTATTAGGATGGAAAATCTTTAGAAGATAAATTTTTTTAAAGAAAACTTGAAATGTGTTACGATAAAAATATGTGATTTAAGTATTTTTTTTTCAAATATATAATTGAAATTTTAAGAATTTATAATAATTGTAGTTTCTAGTTTTATCTAAAAATTAAAAATCTGGAATTTTTTCTACCTTTTCTTCTCTCTGGTGTGTATTTGGGTGTGCTCTTTTTTCATAAATTTTTTTCTCTCATCTTAGTTATAAGTTTAACTTCAATTAAAACGTTGTCCGAAAGAGTCGTGATAACTCAAGTGAGGTAAATAAAAATATAGTAGATTCAACTTATTTTTTATGATTTATATAATAAATACATTTTATGATTTACGAAGTCATGTAAAAAATAAAAAATAAACTTTAAAGTCAACTTAATTTTATAAATTGATTTAAAAGGTCAAATTTGTATTTATAATTTAAAGTTTAAAAGATTTATTATTTATATATTTATATTTAATTAAAATTTTAATCCATATAACATCTTTAACATAAAACTTTTAGTGAAATCACAGATTATTATGAGTTTTATATACATATACAAGTTAATGAACACTAAAATTGATGTTTGTTGAAGAGTATATATGAATGTGAGAAATATTTGCATTGATGAATGATATGCAGATGCATATGAAAAGGAAAAGCTAAAGGGCATTTTGTTTTTGATCAATGGAAGGGATATTCTTGAAAGCCATTCTTTTGGTGAGTTTAATGGCAATGAGAGCCAAAATGGTAGCTCCAGGAACAAAAGCAACATCAGGAATGGCTTTAATCACACTCAGTTGAGGCACTGTCTGTCCAGTTTTCTTAACCACCATGGCAACTGGTGGAGCCACTATTCCGGTGATCATCATCGATTCATCTGCTTTGCTCAGATTCACGTTCTCATTCATGAATTTCTTGAAAGCTTCCTTCCTTTTATCTTCATCAGATTCACCACTCCATCCATTGTAATAATATTTCTGCTTCTTACAAACATGTCACTCAGTTTATCAAGAATGAATGCATGCATAGTGTAATACTATTTAGAATTTTTTTTATAATAGACTACGTGTTACTATTTTATTGATTCGTATATTAGAAACAGATCTATCACGAACTATCACATAGACGATCGTAAAAAAATTGTATTTTATTGATTCGTATATTAGAAACGGATCTATCACGGATTATCACGTATACGATCGTAAAAAAGTTGTAAAAGAAATTATTAGAAAAACATTTTTCTACTTTTTATCACGTTAAATATAATTCTAGTGTTTAAACTTAGGTGTAAAATTGAATATATAGTTTTAACTCTACCAAATTCATTCTTTTAAATTTGTTTGAGTTGGAACGTGTTAAATTATATAGACAATTTAAATATTTGTTTGAAATAGTATTTGATATATAAATAAGAATGATTAATATAGTTAAATTATAAAAACTATATTTATTTATTTTTAAAATTTAAAAATTAAATTAGGGTTAAATATGTTTTTAGTCTCTAAACTATTGGCCGTTTTTTGTTTTCGTCCCTCTTTCAAAATAAGGTACAATTTGGTCCTCATTCTTTTCAAAATTTTGGTTTTAGTCCTCAAAAACTAACACCGTTAAAAATGTGGTAGTTTTCGAGGTTAGTTTTCAAGGACTAAAACCAAAATTTCGAGGACTAAAACTAGAGTTTCGAAAAGAATGAGAACCAAATTGTACCTTATTTTGAAAGAGAGACGAAAACCGACCAATAGTTTAGGGACTAAAAACATATTTAACCCGTTAAATTATATCAAAATTTAGAATAAAAATCAGTTTTAATTTTACATAAAAATTTAGATAGTAAATACATGTTTAACTTTTATTATTATTATTCACCATTAAGGTAAGGTAAAGAAGAGTTAACTCACTTTTATATCATCATGTGGTGGTGCATCATAATGCTTACCAGGCAAAGCCATGTTGATTGCACTGTGAAAAAATAGTTAACAAAACTATCGTTAAAACTAATATTTTGGAAAATTTGATATTAAAAAGTTAAATATTTCCCAAAACTAATGTTTTGAAAAATTTAATATTACAAACTTCAAACATTTGTTTGTCTCATTCACAATTATAGGCTTATCAAAATATAGCTTTTACTTTCTGCACACCTAAAATTTATTCATGCATCCTGACATATTTTCAAAATGATCATTTTACTCGAAATGACTTTTTAAATATATATTCGAAAAAAGGTTTTTCACAATTTTTGGAATAAGATTTTTGAATGATATTTCTGAAATAGAACATTTAGAATTAGATTTTTGAAATATATGAAATACATTTTGGAAAAGATTTTCCAAAATAAAATTTTCAAACCAAACTTTTGAGAACGCATATAATTTTTCCAAAAACGAATACTTCTATGTGAAATGTATTTTGAAAAAAAATATATTTTACAGAAATATACTTTATTCTTATCTTTATATAAAATATCTATATGCTCTCCTTATGAAACTTTTTTCACTTTAGTTCGTTAGAAAAAGATAATATTTAATGTAGGGATTTTTTTTTAATGAGTTTAAACATATAAACCAAATGTAAAACTTTCTACTTTCTCAATCAACTACAGATTTTAATATATGCTCTCTCTTAAAAAAATATTATTATTATAGAAATCAATAAAACTTTATCTAAAATTTAAATTTTTTCTAGTTTCTTCTATCACCAAGATAGGAATTGAAAAACATGCATACTTACTTGAAGATATCAAGAATGGCAGCGTGGAAGTCATCAAAGTTTTTAATTTCTCTCTTTTCAATAACCCTATCATAGAGTGTTCCTGTTATCATAGTCATCCCCTTGTTTGCAACCTCAACTCCTGATAATCAAATCCCTTAACTTAAGATCAGATAAAAAATAAATTATACACATAAGCATGATTAATTAACAGAAAATTATATATATTTTCTATCAATAAAAAAAAAGTGATGCAATAAAAAACAAGAAAAAAAATGACCTGTGCCTCCCATGTAACTCATAACCAGTCCCATGATGATGTGTTTGTGTTTGTGTTCTGAGAATGATTGAGTTTATGAGCACAAAAAGCTTATGATAAGAGCAATATATATGACAACAAGATACAACGTGGGTAAAGGAAATGAGTATATATGTTTGTTTGGTGAAAGTAAGGTATTCTTTCTATTATTTTTCTTTTCCTGTTTATTTCTTAGATTCTTGCCTTCAATTCGCAGCTTTCAATATGTTCTACCTTTTGATTTGGAATAATGTAATGTGAGTGTGTAACAATTCATCACGAAAGTCAAAATCTATTAAAATAGTAACACCTAGTTAAATCCATATGTAATTAAATTGTTGTAATTATATAGTTACACATTTTATAAAAGAATTGAAGTTGATTAGATTAAAAATAATTATTGGAAGTCTCCTACCGACCAAAGATAATGTATAATTAGGTGCAAACTTCATTCTATAAGTTAGTTTTGTGAGATTGAATTAGGTATATATTATTCCACCGCTATTGGGTCGCTATAGGATCATCTATTAATGTCTAGTTTCACACTCGAAATGCTCGGCGTGAGAGGGTGTGTTAAAGGTTTCCATCAATGTCTAGTTTCACGTTCAATATGTATATACCTTAGCATGAGAGGGTGTGTTGAAGTCCCACATCAATTAGGCTTTATTTTTGGTTTGATTTATAGTAAATTTTTTTATTGGATTAACTATAATAATTGTTGAAGAAATTAGATTAGCATGATTTATAAATAAAAGTTATATTAGATTTCTATCATGTACTAAAATTGATCCTATAATTATTCTACGCCAATAAGATTAGTATGTGATCTAATTACGCTAAAAATTTTACAATAGCTTTTTTTTTTCTAATTTCTCTGAAAAAATAAATAAATAAATAAATTTTACCATAACTAGGAATAATCGAATCGGGTATATACGTAATAAAGAATTACCCTTTTACTTTTTGCCATTGCGATTAGAAGCACTTCAACTTTAATCACTTTCGTATGTTTAGGATTTTGGTTTTCTTAAAAATAATCGCTTTTCAGCCTACGAAAACGCAACTTAAGATTTCTATTAACGATAATTAACTTAACTCAAATATACGCATAAGTGATTATTTATATGTTCATTTTTAAACTTTAAATACACACTTTTCTCTATCAGATTTTCATTTTGTGTTAAAGAATTTTTTTTCAGAGTATTGATGAATTGGAAATTATTTTAAATACAACTTTTAAAATAACTATAACAGAAATTACCAATTTTAACATAAGTCACAATGTATGATTAAAACTTTGTATAAAGCATACTTTTAAAAGATAAAAATAATAAAAAATAGATGAATTTTTTATAAGTTAAAATTGTGTATAAACTAGTTTATAAAATGTTTTGTATAGTTTTTCTACTTATTTAACTTATGTAAAATACTCATTTTTTTTTCTATATTACAATATAAAGAAATATATATATATAAAAAATACCCTTAAACCCATCAAAGTCTACTCAAATCTTCACTTTTGGTAATGTTTATCAATTGACCAACAGAAAATTCCTATAGGTAAAACATGATTTAAGTGAAAAAATTAATGACATATAGTATGTTTTTCATATACTTTTGCATTGTTCAAATCTCTGTCCCTCTTCTGCCACTCATAATTTAGCCAAACTATGATACATGTGTTGTGTGAACATATATACGTATACATACATATATATATATATATATATATATATAATCTTACAATAGAGAATAGTTATATTACAAGCCACATAAACAATGTGCACCAAAGAGTAAGCAAAATTGCAGAACAGGCATAAGTTGCTAACATGATAGCTGAGCACTCACCCTCACCAACTCCAAACATCTGAGTAATTGTACCTGCAACAATCATAATTCAACATTTTCTCAGTTAAATGTGTGTGGACTATGTCATATTATAGAATAAACTATACATGATGATGAAAACTAAATATAACACTTTGAAAATGCAAACAAGTTCAGTATATAATAATAAGCAATGTCACTGCTTTGGTTGGAATAATGCTTGCTGATATCAAATTTTAGTGTATGCATTTTGTCAAGAGTTGGCAATGTGAAGATAGGAATGAACAAACACGAGATCTATATGATGTTAAAGTTACTTTACATGAACAAATTTTAGTGAAATATCTTAACAGTCAAAACAATAGTTTAAAAAACTGATACAATATGATGTTATTGGCAGAGAAAACTACATAAGATATTTAAGTGGATTCATTTTATAGAGGATAACAGAGAAAACTGATACAGTTGTTTAAGCATCATAAACAACTTACTCACTACTATTGCAGGTGGAAGGGCATATTGAAGCAGTAAAACAAATTGATACAATGGATCATGGTGGATCAAGTTGAAATGAATAGCACTTTTAACAATGCCTACACCTATTGCTGGCAAGGCCACAAATTTAACCACAATGATGCCAACAATAAGTGGAACTTGTTTTCCTATTCCTTTTAAACCTGAAAATCACCCAGTTTAGGTCCTCAGATTTTTAAATATAACAAAACTCAACCTCAGACAAAAGAAAAAAGTTGAAAATTTCATGTTGCTAATTGATAAATGATTATTACCCTTAAGAAGATTTGCCCCAAGCAGTAACACCATTGCTGGAACACTTGCATCCCTGAAAACCATGAATAAGAGTTACATGTAGCTGTGTTTTCAAATTTATGAAAAAGAGTTGCATGAAACATAAACCTTGATCAAGATCATGGACACTTGATGGTGCTTGATCATACAACAATTTCTTGTGTTAGGGTCACTCACCCCAACATGGTTAAAGTGTCTTGAACCACATTAAGAAGAGCCTTGTCACCTACTAGAATTTTTCGAAGTTGAGGCACAATACCAATTGTCAAACCCATAATCTGCATACACAGAAGTAAAAGGAAGTGAAATTTTTAGGAGGAACTAAATATGTTTCATCACATTCCATTGTCACTTAAGTGGCACATGGCCAAGTTGGTTCTGATTTATCTAACATTCTTATATCATGAAAACATTGCCTCGCTTGAACATCAAAGTTAAACATTTTCATATCAACTGCTGATTTTTCAAAAGGGGTAATTGTCTACAAACTCCTGACAAAAAGTTTGATTCCCATTAAGCATATCTCAAGTTTAAGTAGTGTGTATGAAAAAATTGGTATTAGGGAGAGTTTTGCCTAGTTAAATCCATTCAACAGATCAAATTCAAGTGAGGCATAGACTAAACAAACTAGACTTTAGGTGATGGAACTCTGTTTTGTAACTAATATACCTTTTCCTATACTTTATAATGTAGCATCTCCTTCAACTTAATTCCTTAAAAAGTATGTTTGCAATGTAGAGAAATGCTATCAACATTCTTTTGAACACAGTCTTTACTGATAACTAAAATGAAAACCACACGTGAGTTTCAGTTCTTATTTAACAAATTCCTGCTCAATATTTGATACTTTTCAGTTAAATTTTAACTAATAATTATGATGGGAGCACTCCGTTTGTAATAATAGTAGAATCATGGACATACCGCTGCCATAGTGGAAGGAGCAATTAGTATCTTCATGTTTTTTATCTTCTCAACTAATAGTTTCAACTGCTTGATAAACTTTGGCTTTTCTGGTACCTGTAAAAGTCTTGAAAATATAAGGCACCACTTACATAAAATCTTTATGATATGAAATCATGTTATGTTACATATCATTCTTATTATCATTTTTACTTTTACCCCACCAAACAAAGCATTTTGCAAATACATTATGCATAAACCATCAATCACATTTCCTTGTTCCATTGAATTCAACTCTGATCCAAACAACACAAGCTTTCCAAATAAGGTTATGTTAGACATCACTATGAACTTTGACATCTCAGTGATGCTGAACCTCAAAGTCTATCAATCATTTGCTGTCAAACAGCACAAGCTTTCACACGAAAAGGCTTTAAAGCATTCCAATGTATCAAAAGAGACACAAATTCATGCAGCACATAAATGTTAAAGTAATTATATTATATTGGAAAAGACAACAACCTTTGTTTGTCCATTAGGCACTTTACATTCAAATTCACTTGGCTTCATGCCACCATTAGGCTTTGCTATATCAGCATCCATGATTAGTGCTCCACAAGAGCTTTTCAAAAGGTTTTCTGGATCAGTTGTTGATTCAAACTTTGAATTTGCAGAGGATTCATCAACTTTGGCTGCTTCAGATATCATAGGAGAATATATACGAACAACGTTGAATGTAAAAGACCAAGCATAGGTGTATCCTACCTGAAAAACCAGGAACACATGAAAAAGTTTTAAATCATTCAAAACCCCAACACCATTTTGTGATGCACATATTTTACTAAGTAGTAAAAATCAAATCTATTGTCATACAGCCATTGACAGAGAAGCATATGCAAGTCCATTTCTGTGGCAAATAGCTTCATCTCCAAAAGGGTTGTTTTTCTGTTCACAGATAGCTGGAACTACAGTTAGAGGCAAACTAGCCAGATTTCCTACACACATCAAACACCAAAAGGTCATATATACACATTCGTATAGCATCCAAAGAATGAGTTAATTTTATTTATACCATGATTGAAATTATTTTACTTAAATTCAATCTTAATTGCTCATTTCACAAAATTAGTTTAGAAGAGTTCACTTATATACTATAATTTGTTTACATATTTAGTTGACATAAGATTTCTAACCCATTCCTCACGAATAGGAATAGGCTAGAATTCGATAACAAAAGACACAATAGAATCAACAAATCTCGTTGAGATAAATTCTGGTAGATCTTAATCTTAATTAAACCTAACAAGATCAGCTTGTACACCTACTTATACTCAATCATTTCAACATATATCTGGTGGACATGTAATCTCCTAAGATCATGAGTTTAAATTCTAAATCTATAAAGTTTGAAACATTAACTACCAATTTAAAATCATTGCTAGTATGGCTTTTGAGGAATGATTATTTGCAGTTATATACCAGAATAAGACTTTATCCTACTAAGGACAAAAAACTTCATGAATATTATAACTATAATAGGATATATAAGGTTTAATAACTTTGACTTTTCATT